TTGTACCATGTGACCTCTGTGATCATTCACAGATTTCACATGTAGTAAGCAATGATGTCAGAAGTGACATCTTGTTTACTACTCTGCATGTGATCACTGATTGACCAATCAGTGATCACATGATCGGGACCTCGCACATAGGACCCGTACGACGATCAGTGTTCCACTGTGTCCGGAGGACACAGCGGGCACCGGATCGCGCACAGTCCATAATGGCGGGTGCCGTTTATGAACGGCAACCCGCCCCTGGAGTGCCACCATCCTGACGTTTATATACAGTGACCGGATGGCAAGTGGTTAAAGGATAAAAAATTGTGTCAAGTCAAGTCTATGACTGTCATTAATAAAATCGGTACTACATCCCAAAAAATTTTACTAAAGAGAAAGGAAGAAAGGAAGAACAGGAAACATAGAGAAAGAAAGAGAAGGGTGGGACTCTCCAGGTACCAACCAACAACATTATTAAGGTTAAAAAATACAAAATGTATTGAACACAATTACAAATTATACATGACAAATGTATATTTTGTAATTGTGTTCAATAAATTTTGTATTTTTTTACCTTAATAGTGTTGTTGGTTGGTACCTGGAGAGTCCCACCCTTCTCTTTCTTTCTCTATGTTTCCTGTTACACCCACATTCAGGTGTAACATGTTATGAGTGGACCGGCCCCTGCTCCTCCCCAATCTCCGGTGTGACATCTAGCGGGGGATCTTCTTCTTCCCACTAGCTGTCACTATTTTTAAAAAATGTGACCGTGCAGGGCTCCACCTGCCTGGCTGTGTCATTTATTCATGGTGTTCTGTGAATGAACTACAAGTCCCGACAGTCTTTGCGGAGCACTGTGGAGCACCATGGTAGTTCATTGAGTCTTCCTGTCAATATGTCTACTTGCCCGTACATCCCGTACGGGCAACAGATATACTGACAGATCTGCAGGAGACCTGCATGGCGCCAGCGATCTGCTGATCACTGGTGCAATGCTTTACAGGCTCCAGAAGCAAACAAAAAAAAAATGCACATTTTTTTTACCTGCAAAAAATGCGCATTTATTATTTTTTTTGTAAAAAAGGTGACCTTGTCCTTTAAAGTGATAGAAAACCAGGAATTCTACTTTATGGATAATCCACTCCAATGTTGAAATGCGAATGTGTTAACTACCAGTTCCCCAGCCAGATTCAATGTAAATAAAGAAAATGCTAAATATTTTCCACATTAATTCTGCCTCCAATAAAACAAATAAAAACCTCTAGTGAGACTTTGCTGCATAGGAATACCCCTGTATTTATGTTTCCCTAAAGTCAGATGTTTACACTCATTCCAGACTATAGTTGTAACATTCCTTAAACTGTATTTAAAGCCAACCTTTTTGTTTCTTTTTTAGTTTTAGGGTGCAGATTGTTCCTCTCTATCTGTTCTGTGTGAGCCTCCATGAAGAAAACACTATAAAAGTACATTTGGAGGAAATAGCCTTTTGATATTGCTCACACATCTCAGCAAAGATGGACTGATTGTAGAATGGTCAAGCAGGCATGTTCTGCAACATGCTCAGTCTACGTGACAGACCATTGCCATGATGCAGCCTGACCAAAGAATAAAATTTGTCAAAAGTCTTGGAAGAGGAGTATGTAGAATCTATTCAGTACCTATAAAAATGCTGAAGCAGCTAATGATTCAGTTATACAGAATAATGATATACTGTAGCTAAATTGGCAGATTATCTGGCAAGCAGTAGTGCACTTCAGAAGAGCATTTTAGAAGAGCAGAATCAGAAGAGCATTTTAGATGGCACTGCAGATTTCTTTGAACTACAGCATATAGTTTCAATATTATACATCAGATGAGCTTAGACCATAATGACAAGTCCTTAGACCATCTATGCAAATGTATATAAGTGGAGATGGAGGGTGATAAGTCTGCAATGGCCTCCCAATAGAATGCATAGAATGTTGTTGTGCTAATCTGAAGGCCACATGAAGTTGGAAGGTCTTTAGCTATTGACTCTGCAGACAATTGGCAAGTTCTGCAGACTGTGAGCTTCTGCATGCGCTGACCCCGCTCTGTTATTTTACGTGGCTTAGCACTTTGAGGCTGAGTTGCTGTTGTTCCCAGTTGCTTCCACTTTGTTATAATACCACTAACAGTTGACTGTGGAATATTTAGTAGCAAGGAAATGTCACGGATGGACTTATTGCACAGGTGGCAACCTATCACGGTGCCACACTTGAATTCACTGAGCCCCTGAGAGCGACTCATTCTTTCACAAATGTTTGTAGAAGCAGTCTGCATGCCTAGGTGCTTGGTTTTATACACCTATGGCCATGGAGGTGATTGGAACACCTGAAACGAATGATTTGAAGGGGTGACCCAGTACTTTTGGCAATATAGTGCATATGTATATATTTATATATTTACTGATTTACTGCCGATATGAAATTCATGGGAAACATATTTTTTAACAATTGATCCTTATTGCAAATTACAATTAACTAAAATATAATGCAATACAATGCAATACAACGTAAAACAAGAGAATTGAAAATGGTATCTAAAATAATTTGCTGAACCACTTTTCAGTTTTCCACAGCTGTGCTAGTTTGATAATTATTCGATCATGCAGCACTGTTCCCAAATTAATTTTATATAATTTTTTGACACAGATAGAGCTTTTTTGGTATTTAATAACCACTGGATCTTTAATTTTTTTACTATACCAAAACAAAAAAGAAGAGAGACTGTTTGTTCTAACAAACGTTTAAAGACCCCAATGCTTGGGTGGTGCATTGTATGTTAATGAACTCTTAAAAAACTGGCCCTTACAGGTCTCATGCAGTGGTGATCATAGACACCAAAAGTACCATTAAGCCTGCTATACATGGATTGAAATCCGTTCGATTCAGCAGGGACTGGCTGAATTTTGATCCATTTATGGGCACTCTGGTTGCACAGAAGTCGATCTATTGGTCTATAGCTGGCAACACTGATCATTGTGTCCTGACCATGAGAACACAATATCATAGTGGAAGTGATTCCCCCATCCACCGCAAATGTGTGGATAGGGAAATTGGCACATTTTTTTCATTCAACCCTCCAGTTGAACAAAAAAAATGTATAATGTATGACCTGTCTTACTTGAGGAAGCTGGTTGAATTTTCCCACTGAGCTATTGTATTTTGACAGCGGGGAAGCTTCAATGCCATCAGAAAACACTGCTCAGCACTGCTCCACTGGTGTGTTCTTATCAGCTGTGCAAATAACTTGCGCTTTCAAAGCATTTCCATCTTTTAGGATTCACAGGAACATAGGTACAATTAAATACCCCAACAGCATTAGAAATCTTAATCATCAGAGAAAACTTCACTATCATTCAACTGATGATTAGAGTAAGGCACCTTGCATATTGAGCATCTAGCTCCTTTGAAGCACTTTACAGCATGTTTTGGAGGCACAACTGCAGTGTCCAGCCCCATTGCCTGCAGCCTGTCAAAGTCTAAGACGGGTTAAAATATGCTGCAGCTGGAAGGTGCTGAATGCTATACTGAGTGGTACTTGCGTTTGGGACCCTATGCATTCAAAGGTACATTATATGCCTGGAATGCGTACTGGGCATTTCTCCTTGGGTGAATACTGCCCTAAACATTAGTACCACTTGGTGCCCCATCCAGCACCAGTAGCATTCAGCTGGATGGTGCACCTGTGTCTTCCACCTGAACAAAAATTCTCGAATCTCATGTATGAGGCTAAACGCCCAGTGTGCACTAGGCCATAATGTCAATAGCAGGTATGCAGACAAAGGAACCCAAGCACAGATGTTTCACCAACAGAATGAAGATGTAAAACATTATCAGTTGGTTTAATTCTCCAGCTGCTATCAAACTCTGAAATATCAGTTCTTTGGATGAGCTGTCTCGTATACCTAAATTAACAAACTGCTAATAACAAAATGGATGTACAAAACATTTTGAGCGCTAGTTAAGCTTCCATTTTTGGGAAAAAAATATAACACATCACAATAACTGAAAAAAACTGATTCTTAACATTTTATCATGCATTAGATCCTGTGTATTTAGGTTATTGTTCATCTGTATTATAAGAAGCCTCTTTTTACAGGATAAGATGCTGGGTTAATAAGGTGCTAGAAATAGAGCAGGGGTGCTCAACCTGTGGCCTTCGTGCCACATGTAGCCCTCGGAGCCCTTTAATGTGGCCCTTGACCTCAAACCTGGGAAGCGCACTTCTATTATATCCTACAGGTTTGGTGCACTTTCTGAAAGTGTACCAAAACTCCTGAATACAGAAGTCTATGGCAAAGTACAGGTTCACTGCACTGCATCTTTGGTGCAGATTAACCACAGCGCATCAGTGTGAAAGAAGCCTTATAGGGGGCTTAGGACAGTAAAGGCTTGTTTACATTTGCGGTTTGGGTGGGCAATAAAACCCCATAGGTGAGAAGTGTTTTTACGGCATCCCTTCAACCGCTAGTGGAGCACTGGAGTCGAAATGGTGACCCCACCCCATGTTCCAGGGGGCCCGTGTGGCGCCCGTCACATTATGTTTTACACTTGGACAGGAGGGGTGGTGAGGACGGCATATACAGGAACCAATCCTCTCCATTTTCCTCCTGAAACTGCTGAAAGGCAGCTTCTCCTCCTCTCCCTCCCCCGGAATTCAGCAGCTGGTGGAGGAAAATGTTCATTATACTATTCAAAATAATAAATTCGAAATTCTGAACCATTGAATTTCATTGTGGCACGCAACCAGTTACCAAATCACTTAAATGGCTCTTGCTCTTCAAAAGGTTGAGCACCTCGGAAATAGAGGATTGACTGTACTAAACATAAAACCAAATCTCTACTGAGGTTAAGACAGGTACACTTTTTAGACTAAATTAACAATCTTAATTTGCCATCAGTATTTAGTTTCTATACATCAGAAAAGCTCAGAAAATAAAGATCAGAATAATTATTACCCCCTTGCTTATCTCAGAGACTTAAGCTCACCTTTACGAAGGGGAATGCTGCCCCTGGTTTGAATGGCTCGTTTTCATGCTCCAGCTGGTATCGAACATACTCTTCTAGACCCTTCTCTTTGTAGATTCGCTGTTCTTCCTCCATAAGGAACAGTGCCCGTGAAGACACTGCAATGGTGATTGCATTGTGAGGCTTTGGCTGTAAATAGAACAGAAGAATAAGGCACTGTGAAACATTTATTGCTCATACATTCCCCATTGTGCTATTCTGTTATAGCTAAAGGGTCTGTTAGGTGTAGTAAGCTTTAGATGTGTTGCATGTATTTTTTATTAATTTTAAATGCATTGCCATTCATTCCTGTGGAAAGTGTTCTTGGCTGGATTCTCAACCACAAAAGCATCAAGCGGGATTTTTTAACACACAACACCAAAACACAGGGGTGTGAAATAACCTTTACCACAGTAGAGCTTATCTAACACGTCTACTGAACAAGCTAATTAAATTAACAGCTTTACACTTAAGAAATATGTAATATTTAGCAGCATGCCATTTTGTCATTAAATGTGATGGCTGTATTCGTTCTCATTTCCATTTTTTCACCTGGTAAATCTATGGGCTGGACACTAAAGGGTTTATTGGTGGTTGATGGGACTAGTAGTTTACAAAAGAAATATAGTATATTTTTGCCCTCAGTGCAGCTCACAGAAAATGTTGAAGAAACCACATTTCTGACCTCATCAACAGGCCATTTTTGTAGCAATAGTGGTGTGACCCTCCTGCGCTCCAAATGTGTGTTTAAAATAATTAAACCAAAATAAATAAATGTATAAACCCCAAAGAAGCTGCTAGCATTAAATCATATACCAGTGATCAAGTGAATATAAACCAAAACCAATGCTGCGCTACATTCAAACTAATTTATGTGAATGTGGAATCCAACATCTCAAATCAAAATTGTGACAATAATAATGACTATATAAATCTATACGTGCTTACTGATAATCAAAATATCAAATAAATCACCCAAAAAGATGAAAGACACAAAACTGAATTAAATCACACGTGCATATTGTGAAGTGAAAAAATATAAATAACCATAATAATGGTACACACAAAAAACAAAAGTCCAAAAATAGAATGTTGTAGGTGAACAAAACAGTAAACGGTGTTTCCAAATGATACTGTAAGTGACCACAGGTGAAACAAATCGTGCAGGTATCTGGGTGTATATAGATCTTATGAATCCAACCACCTTCTGGATTAGCCTCTCACCTCATCCCTTCGACCCTTGCGGGTCAAAGAGCAGTAATGGATCCCTCTCACAGATCCTCCAGGCACCAAAGCACTCCAAAACCGCTTTTCAGGATTTAATATTCCCACTCCGGCTCTTCTCCAGGAAAAGTTGAAATATCAATCTCTCAGAATGAGACAAAGGAATCCTCCCATAGTGTAGTATATTTATTATACCATAGGAACATATAATCTCTTATAAAAACGAACTTACGTAGCAGCCAGTCCACATTAGAACCTCATGCTTTCAGATGAGGATATATCTGTTGGGTGTACAGCTGGATACACAGGTGTACCAAGATGGCCGCCACGCCAGAAATACGTCACCGCGCTACGCCAACGCGTTACGTCACAATGTCACGTGACTTCATCAGGGCTGTCAATCACAGTGACGATCACTCTTTATATACCCGGCCAGATAGAGAGAACCACCCACATAGGAGGTGTTTTCTTCAGCCTAATCTCATCAATCCTTCCTGCGGCCATTACACTGAAGACCACTGGGGACTACTATGCAAAAATTGCATAAGCTGATATCTGCAGTGGGCACATCTACACAGAAAAAAGTCAGTTTTAGCGTGTAATTAGGTGAGATATGGTCCATTTTAATGTTAATTTTTATATTTTTATCTAATAAATAATACATTTAATTTAAATGGGAATGGGTATAAGGTTATTTTGCTGTTTTTAACCATTAGGTATATCAATTGCAGTCGGTGCATTATTATACACTCCTCGGACTTTTTTATGTGTAGATGTGCCCACTGCAGATATCATAGGCCGGAGGTTTGAAGCCAAAGGTTATCAGCAAGACTCGATTAGTAAAACGATCCAGGAAGTTGGGAATACAAATAGAGATTTGCTGTTGGTAGATCGAGAGAAAAATGAGGAACAGAAAGACCAACTTGTAATATGCTTAGATTTCAATGTCCATTATAAAAAAGTGGAAACTATTTTTAGAAGAAATTGGCCACTATTGAAAGCTGATCCGGCCCTGAAAGAGATTATATCAGAATTCCCCAGTTTTAGATATAGAAAAGCCCCATCATTAAGAGATAAAATTGTTAAAAATGTTCTTGATCCACCCATTAAAAAGAATGTCACCTTTTTGGATATAAATGGGTTTTTTCCATACAGGACATGTTATGCGTGCAAATCCACAAAAGGCAGGAATAAGAAATTGATGACTTTTTCTTCATCTGTGAGTAAGAAAGAATTTAAAATTGAAGAATGTATTACTTGTAGGACAGAGGGAGTTGTGTACGCGCTGCAATGCAGTTGCGGAATGCAATATATAGGGAGAACTAAACGACCTCTTTGGGTCAGGCTCCGGGAACATGTCCAAAATATAAAGAAGGGGTTCCCGAAGCATAGCGTCTCTAAGCATTTCGCCAAATGTCATAACAAAGACCCTAGTGAATTAAAATTTTGGGGTATCACGAAATATAAGAGACATTGGCGAGGCAGCCATAAGGTGCGTACTTTGAGCCAATTAGAGTCAAAGTGGATTTATAGTATGCACACTTATTTCCCCAATGGTTTGAACATTGAGTTTGATTTAAATTGCTTTATTTCTGATTTTTGAGGTAGTTTGAGATGGTGCTATAGATATATACATTTTATACATTGATTATGTAAACTCATGCTTTCGGATAGAATATATGTGTGTGAGTTCATTCGGAGTAGGTCCTTTATGTGCTGGTGAAGGGTGTAGTTATTTTTTCTTATAAAATGATAAAATATTCTCATTAATAAATATTAATTTTTTAATAAAGTCTTTTTTTAAATTATTTTAAATTATTTAGTGTTTTTAACACCTATATATCATTTAGGATTAGATTGAGGTTTGGATTGTATGTATACGTATGCGTCCTTATATGCAGAGGTATATATATATTCCTGGGTAATGGTATATATATATAAAATTATTGGCTGTATTTTTGCTCAAATTTTGGTATATATAACTAGAGATTTCAAGCGTTTTAGCGTGTAATTAGGTGAGATATGGTCCATTTTAATGTTAATTTTATATTTTTATCTAATAAATAATACATTTAATTTAAATGGGAATGGGTATAAGGTTATTTTGCTGTTTTTAACCATTAGGTATATCAATTGCAGTCGGTGCATTATTATACACTCCTCGGACTTTTTTATGTGTAGATGTGCCCACTGCAGATATCAGCTTATGCAATTTTTGCATAGTAGTCCCCAGTGGTCTTCAGTGTAATGGCCGCAGGAAGGATTGATGAGATTAGGCTGAAGAAAACACCTCCTATGTGGGTGGTTCTCTCTATCTGGCCGGGTATATAAAGAGTGATCGTCACTGTGATTGACAGCCCTGATGAAGTCACGTGACATTGTGACGTAACGCGTTGGCGTAGCGCGGTGACGTATTTCCGGCGTGGCGGCCATCTTGGTACACCTGTGTATCCAGCTGTACACCCAACAGATATATCCTCATCTGAAAGCATGAGGTTCTAATGTGGACTGGCTGCTACGTAAGTTCGTTTTTATAAGAGATTATATGTTCCTATGGTATAATAAATATACTACACTATGGGAGGATTCCTTTGTCTCATTCTGAGAGATTGATATTTCAACTTTTCCTGGAGAAGAGCCGGAGTGGGAATATTAAATCCTGAAAAGCGGTTTTGGAGTGCTTTGGTGCCTGGAGGATCTGTGAGAGGGATCCATTACTGCTCTTTGACCCGCAAGGGTCGAAGGGATGAGGTGAGAGGCTAATCCAGAAGGTGGTTGGATTCATAAGATCTATATACACCCAGATACCTGCACGATTTGTTTCACCTGTGGTCACTTACAGTATCATTTGGAAACACCGTTTACTGTTTTGTTCACCTACAACATTCTATTTTTGGACTTTTGTTTTTTGTGTGTACCATTATTATGGTTATTTATATTTTTTCACTTCACAATATGCACGTGTGATTTAATTCAGTTTTGTGTCTTTCATCTTTTTGGGTGATTTATTTGATATTTTGATTATCAGTAAGCACGTATAGATTTATATAGTCATTATTATTGTCACAATTTTGATTTGAGATGTTGGATTCCACATTCACATAAATTAGTTTGAATGTAGCGCAGCATTGGTTTTGGTTTATAGGCCATTTTTGTACTTTCTGATAATGTTATAAGCCTAAAAAATGATTTTTGATCTTAGATTTAGCTATCTAGACCAGTGTTTCTCAATCTTTTTTCAGTCAAGGCACCCTTTAACATTATGGACAGTCCCGTGGCACCCTCTAACATTATGAACAGTCTTAAGGCACCCCATTCTAAAATGTGAAAAACTATTCTAATAGTTTTTTTTTTAAAGCAACAACATCCACACATGTAGGACACCCAACATTAGAGGTGATTTATTCTTCCAAAATAAACACACTATTGCATGCTGGTACTGACTAGTATTCCAATGTTTCTCTTTTCCCTCAGTTTTTCTCCATCCCTGAGCTAATGTGACCCTAGCATTGACGCAGAGGGACAAGGGAGGGTCAAATGAGGATTCTGTGCAGGCTACCGACATCTTCTTTATCAAATTATGTCACTGGTTGTCAGGACGTTGGCAGCTAGAAGGTCGTAATGGTGGACAATGGAAACCTGTGGCTTTGTGTAACTAAAAGGTAGGCTTGTTCCACCCACTGGCTTTTATACAAATTTTTAGACATTTTGCCAAGGCACCCCTGAAGAAACCTCAAGGCACCCTGGTTGAGAAAGGCTGATCTAGACACCACATGCATGAACCTCCTAAGCCCAGGTTATGCATAAGGCACCCTTCAAATCCTTTTAAGGATGGAAGTTAAAGGCCTGGGGTAGGGGTGGACATAAAATTTGTGCAGACTATGAATCTGTGCAAGGCCCTTTTGGTATATTTCTACTGGATGTAAGTAGGGCAGATAGTAAGGCCTCCTCCA